GTGCCCGGTTCCCCAAGCACTGATGGCATTGTGCTGTCCCCCAGACCTGTGCCTCCTAACACAAGGAGGAAGCCCTGGAATGTGTGCCCCCACCCTCCTAGAATTCCCATCAGCGTGTGCAGAATCTCATTCGAGTATGACTCCCCAGAGCCACTGCTGCTGAACATGTCATGAGACTGCACCAATCTCCCGGACTTATGACACTTGGCCTGACTCCTGCTTGCATGGGGGGGGGATCCAGAGTGGCCTCCCTGGACCCACTGGGTGACCTGGATTTTATGGGTGACCGTGGCCTCCTCCTTTCCCCTGGGAGCTGGGTCGACAGGAGGTTCAGGGGACATGTGGCATGACCCCAGCCAGTCCATCTACTCAGACAATTGTACTAAAGTCTGCCAAGTGCCCTGCAAAATACCGATATTACCCACTGGAACTAGGGCCGCTGGTTGCCTAGAAGGCATTCCAGCAGGGGCTCTTACATTATCCTGTTGTGTGGCATGCAAGCCTTGAGCTTGGGGGGATGTGCCTCTAGTGCCATAAGGAGCAACTTTGAGAGAGGGGCCCTTCCCATTGCAGCCCGTGCCCTCCCTGTGGTGGCTGTACTGCACCTGGCTTTCTTGTGCGGGAACCAGCCATGCATGGCCAATAAAATATGCAGCACCATGCACAAATCAGATCACACCTGCTTAATGCATATATGTGAAATTAAAATGTCGGAAAAAACTGTGAGTGCACCATGCAACTGTAACCTAATTGTATAAGCACACTTACGCCTTAGCCCATAGCGATTAAATTACTATCAGGTGTAAATAGATCAGGAAAACCGTTGAATTAAGTATTAACTGAGTCACAGCTGCTTAATGCATATATGTGAAATTAAAATGAACTACTATTTATTTTATTGTTATTACTATTTTTACTTATCAATACGTTATAATTCTCTATTTAATTACACCTAAAACCCACAACCACCTATTATGAATACTATATATATTCTAATGAGTTAAACCCAAGCCTTGAGTCGGGCCCACCCTTCAGGATAAGCAGGATATGGTATGGGTCTTCTGCCAACAGAAACCCACAAATGCCCCTGTAGCATCAGCCTGCAGTGCCTAGTGCCCCCCCCACCGCCCTTGAACACCATCAGGTCCCGCTGCTGTGGATGCACCTGCTGTATAATTCCTGTCCACCGAAGAGGACCTGCTGCTGCGTAGCTGAGGACCTGCTGCAGCCTAGGCCCCCATCAAGATAGGAAAGTTGAAGCAAGGGAATGAAAGCCACTGATGGGACACAGCTGCTGCTGTGAGGCTTCCCAATTCAAGGATGCAAGCTGGTGAACTGCCAGTCAGCTGAGCCGGCCGCACGTGGCTGCAGCTCAGCTGGGGCAGCCCTTTTGCTAGCCATGAGCCTTCCCAATTCAGGGGCACAAGCTGGCTAGCAGCCAGTCAGCTGAGCCGGCTGCCTATGGTCACAGCTCAGCAGGGGCAGCCCTTTAAACTAGCTTCCTGGCGCAGCTGTGCAGGCTGGAGCCAATCTGCGGGCATGTGGCTTTACCTTGGAGGCGATGATGAAGAGGTGAGCAAAGCTGAAGTGGATGAACTGGGGTGATCTGGCCACAGCATGGGATTAAACAGCTGAGGGGCTGCTCCACTCTGCCCCCCAAGGCTGGCCCTCCGAGCCTCGTACCTGCCCTGCTTCACCCTCCCCCGATCTGCAAATGGCAGCACTGGGTAAGTCCATGCTGTGCATCTCAATATGTGTTGTTGATGTTTGTAGGAATAACCTTTATCTTTTCTTTCCTTTCTCAGGCCAATTGTTCTGGACCCTGTTAACCCAACATTTAACGTGTGTGCAAATAGCAATGCCTGGGATGAAGTCGCTCATGTGGCAAGGCAGAGTCTCCTTAAGCCACTCTTCAGTGGTGTCCGAGCAAAGGAGCCTTGGCTTTTTACAAATAATTGGTGAACCTGCACACTTCCTGTAAGAGGCTGTCTTCTAACATTTGGAGCACTGCAGCGGAAAAACCATCATGTTAAAGTGAATGAGATGCACAATATGTGTTACACTCCAACCAGATGTAATGCTATGCAGCTGTGATGGTTCCTTATCCACTGCAAATCACCTGTGAGAGAAGGAGCAGGGGGAAATGGTTTGTTTAACTTTTCCTTTGCCAATCTGTTTTTTTCCTTCAAACTCCTTCCAATAGAGTAGCTTTTACTTCCTGGTGTTCCAGACCCAGGTTTGCAAGGTAAACATGGAGCTGGAATATTGGGCGGGGAAACAGAAGAAAGCAATTAGCAAACAAAAAGGTATTCCTATCCTCTTTTCTTCCTTCTGTCTGTGCATTGCAAAGGATAAGGAGCTACTGGGGATTGCAGCTGCAGTCTAATGTATAAATTGCCTCTAACAGCAGAGCTCTCTGACATAGTCAACAAATAATTGATATCACTTTTCAGTAAGTTCATCAAATAGCTGTGTTAATCAATGAGTGTTGGGGTTTTTTATTATTTGAAGGAAGAAACCAACAGAATACTTGCAGCTGTATTATGTCGAATAAAGATTTTAAGAACTGGATCAACAGTTACAACATTTCAAATTTTCAGGCATCATACTACATACTTCTGTTTCTTTGCTTCTCTATTTATATGCTGCAAAATGTTTAAGCTTACAGTGATGTAAGCATATTTTTTAAAAAAAGAATGGACCATAGACAGAACTGAACTTCTAAAACAGGATTTTATGTTCACATACAGTATATTGAATCTTCACAATACACACATTTTTTCTGAGGTCTTTGAATTTATTTTAGAAAATCATTATCTAAATGTTGAGTGCTGCTTCCCTTTAATGTGTTTTGTACCTTATTCAGTAACAAAGTGTGCATTTAACTATAGACCAGATTGTGTTTTTATGGGAAGGAAGAGAAGCCATTGACTGTAGCAAACAAATCACATCTGTAGATAAACATTGAATTAAAGGTCTTGTGCTTGGATCAATTTACATGGCGATGAATACCGTACAGTAATTTGTAAGGCTTTTTACACCTTGACCTTGGTGTATAATGTCCTGCCTATTTTGCTGCAATGGTAATTCCAGTGAATGTAACGACCTATACCACTAGACACTGACTAGCTGGCTTGTGCTGAGTTCACATCTGGGAGAGTCATGTCACTGGAAAAGGACAGTGGTAAGGACAAAGCCATTAGATTCTAACCCAGAAAGAAACTTTAACAGCATCAGCTAATTTGGTTAAAGGTTAAAACTCAGGAAATTATTCACACAAGTTTTGTAAGTGGCTTCTGAATGTCCAGATTTTAAAACTTCTTCATCTTATGTAGACACAAATGAAAACCCTGTTACTAGTGTTGTCTATCTCTGCAAGCCGGGCAACAGTGAGGCCATACAGGCCTGGCCTGCAGACTGCGCCTTCCTGAGAATGCTTGGTAATAAAGTAATAGCTGTGGCACCCATGTCAGGGTTCCCTGTCGGACAGCTCAAAGCCAAAAAAGTTCTGCTAAGTTAGAAGATCTGAAAACCTCTATTCTAGGATGTTTGGATAGAGATCTTTCTAATGTCCAGGTACTTTGGATGAGTTCAGAATTTACCAAGAACCCCAACGTGACTGTAGAGGATTTGACTTTATTTGGATATGGGCAGTTGGTTGATAATTATCCCTTTTATTAAAAAGTAAGCAAGTTGCTAGGAAATTTCTCTTCCAGCATGTTGTGCCACCACAGGCGGGAGAGAGCAGGATGGTCAAGGGTGGTTGTTACCTGTGGCGGAACTTGCCTGCAGAATCCCATGCTGCTGCCTATGGCCTATACGCCCTTTGGGCAGCCCTCTGGCACTGGGATGGGCTAGGAGGTGGGGCCAGGAGGGCTGACCAGAGAGGACACTTCTCTCTTTGGTTTGTGCCGGATATCTAAAGAGAGAGAACTGCAGGTGGCCCGGGCATTTATTAATGGGAGAACAACTTGCTAGGAAAATTTATTTTATTACGTTTACATCCTATTCTTCCTCAAAAGAACTCAAAGCAGCCTACATATGGTTCCCCAGCAGTCTGGGACTGTACTTGCGCCACTTCAGCAGCAGAACTGCGTCTTGCAATGACACTCCATTCTGAACAATGATGCCTTGGAAAGAAAGCAGCCTATTATATCCAGCATGGCACTTGATCTCAGCATTCAAAGCAATTTCCATTGGTGTAACCAGTTGCTCTTTGATCACATTGTGCTGTTCAAATGCTATACAGATGGGTGCTTGTTAGAAGATCAGAGTTTACTCATCTAGTATGTATGAAATTCAGAGCATTCAGGACCGATGTTTGTCTACTGATTTTTTAAAAAATCCCCAGGTTTATTGTTCTGGTGACAAGAAGAGTGCCTTCTTGGTTGTTTTTCAAGAACAATTACTGGCTTTCTGCTTTCAATCTTTCATTGATTTTACCCGACAATCTGAGAGAAAATTGCTGCCTCTTTAATCTCTAATTTGAATAATGAAGAAAACTTTAAAGTGGTGTGCTATACTTACTGCAAAGGTACCTCATTCCTTATTCAGAGAATGACTTGCATAGAGATCAGCGTAAATGGTCAGCCTTGCTTTGATTATATAAAAATGATGCCTTAGCTAGTATATAACTGTTGGTGTTCTTAAAGAAATTGTAAACCCTAAGCTATAGCTGCTTAAAAATAGCCTGAAATCTCTGTTATTCACACAGAATTTCATGTTGTATAATGGCAGCAGCTTCAGGCATTTCCTATCCAGAGTAACAGGATGCATGAATAATGCACTTCTCTGAACTTGTGCATGAGATGCAAAGAATTCATGTGCATCTGGAACTCATGCAGCTCACTAAGGTGGAATTTGAGAGTTCCTAACCTGTAAATGTCAACAAAACGTACAAATCAAGCTTCCTCCAGCACAAGGAGTCTTCTGCTGAGTGCAAGAGGAGGCTCTTTCGCGCGTGGCAGGCAGCCCTGTGTCAGCAGAAGGCTCCTTGGGATGGAGGAAAGTGCTGCCTTCAGCAGAGTGGGTCGGCAGGATCCAGCCCTCATATGGTGAAGGTGAATGGTTACGTTGAGTTGATCTGAATTCCCACATTACTGCTCAGGGTTACACACCTATTTGGCAGCTACAGGCTGCCCTAGCGAAAGCCACTTAGGGCTAGACTCATATGATCATCATTTGAAGATGTGACGGCATGATCGCTGTAGAGCTGACTCAGTGCTAAGCCCAGTATTTCTTTTTTCTCTTTGTAAAACCGCAGCTCCTGTCCGGCTTTCCTTGCTTCTTCCAGCTCTCTGAGTGCCACTTGTAGCTCTTGGGAAATAACTCCTGGAGTTTCTTGCTCCTTCATCAGCCAGTCCAGGGCCATGTGGCTTCTCATTCTTTCATCTAAACTGTACTGGGAATAGTAGGAAATCACTTCCTGTCATCACAAAAGAAAGAAAAAAGGTTAGTGAAAGATATATCACTGTTTTGTTCAAAAATTTCAAAACAACATGTTATATCTTTTGTTCTGGGATTTTTGTGAACTGATACTGTGGCAGGCTACCCAGGAACAAACTGTCTGGCAAGGCCCAGCAGCAAGACTCACCTGGGTGGAGCAGGGTGGGACCAAGGGCAGCAAAGTGCAGTAACCCCCCGGCAACAGGGCAGCCTTTGCAAGCTGGCTCAAAGGGTGTGCAGGCACTGGCAGTGAGCAAGCTCTGGGCCCAGGTGTTTTGAGGCAAAACAGGGAACAGAGGAGAAGAGGGTGGAGCTTAACTCAAGGGCCAGGTATGAAGCTGAGGCAATAAAAATGGAGGAAGGGGGAATGGGAGGAAGCTGGCAGGAGAAGAAGGCAGAAATAGGAGGCAGGTTGTAGCGTTGTGGCTCTTCTCCTGTGTGATGCAGTGTAACCCTGAGGTTGCTGAAGTGAACCACACTTTCAGGGGTCTGGTTTGATAAATAAAGGAACTTGCATAAGGAAACAGTGACTGGGCTTGTGATCTGAGGACCCCATGGATGCCAGGTATGATGTTCCCCTGCCTGCAGAGGGCACTACAGATACTAACATGATTAGCTTCTTTATCATGCAGGTCCTCCTACTGCTATCTCATTTTGATGCTCCTCTCTTATATCAATAGGATTAGGATTCTTTCTTTTTTAAAAAGTAAGCTGGAATTTTGTGAAGTGTGCTAGAGATGACCAGGGAGCTGCATCATGCTAATCAGTGTTTTAGAAACTAATATATCAAATAGAAGTAAAAGGAAAAAAATAGCTACAACACTGAATATGCAGACCTTAGCATCTAACATAAAACACTAATGATATAATAATGGTTCTAGGCTTTCAAATACCCTCCCTAAGAAGGCCTGCTTAGCTCCATTTTTTTGTGATTGCTGTTATGGATTGATTTCAAGATTTGGAAATTGAACAGTGACCCAGAGACACTGCAAAGTACTGATGGGTGTTACAACATTTTGGATACTGTAGTTTCTGTCATTTAATTTCTGGTTCCATTTTTCTGAAATTATGTAATTTGTATGTGTTTAAAATGTTAAAGTATTTCATTGTTAGCTGGCTTGAGTCCTAATGGACAAATAAGGCGAGGGGAAAAATTTAGATCTTTGTATGTTAAAAAAATGGCCAAGTTTACACCTTCGGCTTGAAACTTTGTGAAAAGAGCCAGCTTTCATGGTGTTCAATCTTGAACATCATTGTTAAAGCATGCATATGCTTAGATGTAGGGATGTCATAACTTTATTGTAACTTCTTTGCTACCTAAAATTACAGACTCTGGATTCAAGGAACCACAAATGGAGCTGAGTTTTCAGAATGGATCTTTGCTGCTTAACTCCTTCCTGCAGCCCTCTGTGCCCCATGAAAAGCTGCTCTCGAGGGTTGGGGGCTACAGTGAGAAGGGAGAACAGCAGAAAAGGTTCCCTACTTTTGCACAAGCTCTTGCTCAATTTGCGGAAGAGTGAGCAATAATTTCTACCAATTCCCCTCATTATTCCTGAGGCTCCCCAAACTCAAGGAGCAGCTCTTTGGATGCAGGTGCAGGGGCTGTGTGAAAGGGTAATTGGCAAACAGCCATTCAGTGAATTCTGCTCTACTCATAGTCTTTGGATCTGAACCTAGGTCTTTGCTCATTCATCATTACTAACAGCGGGATTTTTAAAATCCCACCAATATTAGTGGCAGACAGCTGAGCTCATGCTTGAGTGTTTTCTCCTGAAATCCATGGGAGTCGGTTGAATTGTGCTTATAGAAGGAGCCTATTGAGCAGGGTTGAAACATTTGTAGGTATTAAGAGAACATTGGGGATAACTGACATACTTTTATGTTTTACAAGACTACTTACTTGCCGAGAGCACTTTGTTTCACGCAGGGCTTTGAGGCTTCCATTCCAATGCAGTAATTGAAAGACAATCATCAGTTCCTGTAGAATAAAAGTAACTGGTTATAGGCTAAGCTGCTTAAAACCAAAAGTTTTCATGATAAGAAAAATAATAGAGTTAGTGTGCAAGCAATGGGTGGGATTCAGAAGTGTACTTGTGCATGCCGAAGGCTGCTTCTGTTAAACAAAAGGCTATTTTTTTCTTGGTTTTTTTGCACTCCTCATAGGAGTACTGCAAGAGAAAAGTTAAGCTAGAACCAGAGAATCAGTGCAGGGACCTGAAACAGAGCCTACATATTTATAGCTCTGAATGAATTCTTGAATAGGAGGGTCTCAAAGGGCACAAGCAAGTTCTTCCTCCTTATACTCTGTTTTTTGGAAACAACCTAGAGTGTGATTGAAGAGTGGGTGGGCATGAAATGGTCCATAATGTATGTTTGTTTGTTTATCCATGTATTTACTTCATTTATGCCCCACCTCTCTCAATGGGGACCCGAAGCAGCATGAGGAGGAAGGAAAAGTAAGAGGAAGGGATGTGTAAGTCCAAGATACAATGACCAAACTGTGGTTGGCCATTTTTATGTGAACCATCCAATTAGTTCTCAATACTGAAATCAAGTCTTGCAGAAGCTCCTGGATGTGATAGCCAACCATTCTGCAAAGAGATAAAACACTCAGTGGCTTGAATCCAGCAATGCACAAGTGGAAACATAAACATACTTAGTGCAGTTCTGCTTGCAAAATCTGTCTTTCTTGTATACTAAAGTGTCCAGAAACTGGTTGCACAAGATCTTGCACAAGTGGAAATGCAAGTGGGGATACAGTAAATTTTAGAATAAGTAAATTTTGATTTCACAGAAGCGGCTACCAATTTTGTGTGTGTGTGATTTTGATTGTGCAAGAGCTCTGGAACTCTAAAATGTGGGTTATATTGAATTTATAGACCATTACTATTATATTGTCATTGACCATCTCAAAATTTATAAAGAACCTGATTTAAATGAAAGCTTGGTTTTATAACTATGGAAAAACTGCATCAAAAGATGATGTGCCTGCTTTTACTGGTACTTTGGGGTAGAGAGAGACAGTAAAAGGCACAGTTTGGAAGAGTGAAGATTTTATTGACCTCAAATGTGAGATAGCAATTGCTTTTATAGAATTTGGGTTACTTTGGCACTTGTTAAGTTTGTCTGCAATGGATTTAGATAAATCAGAATTGGTCCAGTGTTCCACCGTTGCATATATTATCACATGTTCCAAAAAGGTGTAATTGAGCTGTTAGTTGAATGATTTTCTAGTCTTATAACAAAAAATAAGTCTGCCTTTCATCAGTCATAAGAAAAAAATTAATCAGAAGCAAAGCTGGTATAGCTATACTTGTAAAGGAAATTTGTTAGTTGGACACATTTGAAAATAAGATTTGGACAGCTTTTTTTAATGTAAGGAAATATCAGTTTGGACTGCTTAGATTTTCCAGTACACATTAAAACAAATGTAAGGATGAATAACAAGCAGCTTCTTTCCAACTGGAATCTAACCTGGAAAATACTGTACAAGAGGAAAACATAAAAACCACACTATTTGAATTTTAAAAAGCATCTACAGCCCTTATTGAGTTACTCTCAAGAGTTTCTTTTTTAGTGCTAGAAGAATGAAATAATTACAGATGCTGTCTTAGCCCATCCATATAACATAAATGTTTATGAAGGAAGAAATGATGAGATGCATCAGTGATATGATCTTATATTAAACCCACAAAAATCTTATGCAGATTAACCCTGGAGCAAATCCCATTGGACAGAGCAAGTCAGAGTCAATGTACATAAGGATTGCAGTGCATGTTTTAAAAATTCTACATGTGCCATTTGGAAAGGATGTAAAATGAATCCACTGTAGGCTGGTACCTGAAATTCTAGCATTGTTTTCCCCATGTTGGACTCCAGCATATAATGATAGGCTCCAATACTTGTGCTTGGGTCATCTGCATCATGTAAAGAACCCTTCAACAGAAAAAAAAAATTCTGAATGACATGGCCATGTTTTAAAGTGGAAAATATAAACAATTTTTCACATCCTCAGACTGCACATTTATGTTGCAGGGCCAGTAACAATCTTGATTTGTTTGATATCCACCATTTTCATTTACCCTTGGAAACCTTCCTTTAAGGATGCTGATTTCAATAACTGTGCTATGAATAAGTCATGAGAGAGGTTTTGGCTGTTACAAACTGGCTGTTATAATATGGCTTCAGTCCATATTGGAGAATACCAAGTTTGAGACAATTTTTTTTTTTAATCAAACGAAAGATGCTGCTTGGTGTTGCCATTTGTGCTCACAGCTATTTTGTTGGTAGAAAGGCCACAAAGTGATTTTCACACTTGGTTTTTACATGATAAATTAGTCCTGATTTGGGACTTCAGCTTGCACACAATAGCAGCTTGATCATCCTTACTGGATCAATAAACAGCATGGAATACTGGATACTTGTAATGGTCTTTGGCCACATGCAATAAACATTTATTATTGTTATTGCTTGATACCTCCCCCTTCAAGCTTTTATATACAGGGTTTTTCTCATTTGGAAGACAATCTATGCACAAAACCTTTTTTAAAAATAATAATAATAGAAAGTTCCTCCTTATAACCCTTGATGATCTAGGGAAACTATACAGAGCTGAACACAACTCTGTACACAAGATAGTTTCTTGGGCAGAACTGTCAGCAAATTTATAGCTTTTGAAATGCAGTAACATTAACACACTGCTGTTGAAATATTTATGCTGGCTTTTAAATATCCCTGAGGACATCTGCCCAGAACTCTGCAATTCTAAGCTTTTACCTTGCAAATTTTCCATAAAAAATGATGAATTGCATGAAATGAACCTTCTTCTCCAAATCACTTCTACATAAATCATGGCCCATTTTCCAAAACGTATGTCGATTAGTATTGTCCCTCAAAAGGGCATGAGACTCATAAACCTTGAAAAGAGAGGACTCCTTTCATCCACAGACCAAGACATACACCAGACCTCCTCTACAGCTGGGCAAACACATCTGAATTATAAGCTCTCCCACATGCCCCCACCAGCATCTCATAACTGAGACTTTTCAAAAGAAGAGGGACAATTTCAAATTACATGTTTCACCAGAGGGCTGCTGCTCTTAACCCTCTTCCCAAAACATTTCAAATCTCCCTTACCCCTTCTTATCAGGAGCTCCTCTTGTAGGAATGGGAGGATTTCATTAAGCTGTCCAAAGTCTGACACACAGCCTTTTAGAGTCTCCAACTCTGTTAGCATTTACTGAGCTAGTGTTTTCCCTACTACTAATAATTGCAAAAGACTGGATCTGATAAACTCATTTGCAGCAACAATTACAGTATGATTATTTTTTACTCCATTTGGACACATTTTACTGTAATGTTGGTGATGGCAGGGAAACCACTTGAACAACTCATTAATGGTGATACCTTGTTTGTAATTCAGTGGGAATATCCTTGCTTTGAGCCAAGGGGGGACATGTAACCCTTTTGCAGAGGTAGTGTGTCATTATACACATCTGCTCTGTGTATGGGGGATAGTTGTATACTGGGATTTGTTTGTCCTTGGACATATCTGCAAAAAATTATGATAAAATGGTTCTGCCCCAAATTTATTTCATGCATGCAAATGTAAGAAATAGGATACTTAAACTGATATTTTCAAAACAATGTGGGAGTTCATTTGCTTTTTAACTCAATACATTAACAATGCAACGCTATGCAAAGTTATTCCACCTAAGCCCACTGAAATAAATGGGATTCATTTGGAGTAACTGCGTTGAACTGCACTTTGAATTACCTGAATGTGTTTCTGATTCTTTACAGATCAATCTCAAGGCTGTGTGTGCACTTGCTTTTAATTAATCAATAATATAAGTGGATTATGGAAAGGAAGATTTTTTTAATCCAATAGTTTACATTTACATGGTGCCTATATATGTAAAGACTTAAATAGTAACGTTACATATACGTGGTTTCTTTGAGCTATGAGTAGGGCACTTAAGAATCTATTCCATTAAGCACTGCAATCACTTCTGCAATGAAACACAGTAGTTTATGATGGTGTACAAGAACACTAAGCTGACACACACAACTGCAGCTAACCTCAAATGCAGATGTTAGCAGTCTGATATGGTTTTGGTATATTTAGTGACAAGAGCTCCTTGCCAATGCACTTCCTTGCCAGAGGCAGTAATGTAGTAAAGAATAAAGCACTGAAATGGAGAATACAGGGAAGTAAATTGCGGGACCAGGATACTTTACTGAGCTGATTTTGCCTTGGAGGTACTGCTAGCTTTCCTTTATGTTTTATAACTTACAACAAGAATGTATGTATTCCTTGGGGGAAATGGCAGGATGTAACTAGCTTTTCCTGATCATTTATCTTAATAACATTACTATTAATTGATACACTTAAATTATGGGTGAAATAAGAGGAGGTATATGTACTGATTTTCCTTTTATTGGACCAATATTTTATTGGTGGATAAGGCAACTTTTCGGATATCAAGTGGGAAAAGAAGAGCTACATCCAAACTAAATGCAATATGTTTTTTTCATACATTGTAAGCAATTATGGACAATGCTCAGGAAATGCCTCAGATGTATTCTGGCTTGGTTCCCTTTTGTGGTGACCCCCTCCACCATCAAAGAGCATGAGTGGAATAAATACTCAGCATTTATACAGCACATTCCACGCACATTGTCCTAGCCATGCAACAGTCCTCTAAAGAGTGTGTGAGATAATGGTTTGCCTAAGGCCATGTCATAAGTTTGTGGTAGACGGGTCTTTTGGGGCCAGAGTGCTGAGGCCCCGGGGAGGCCAGAGGAGGCTCATTGCTGCCTTTCTGGGGCCTGTGCCAGAGCGCTGCGGTCCCGGGGAGGCCGGAGGAGGCCTGTCGCTGCCTTCCTGGGGCCCGCGCTGGAGTGCTGCGGCCCCAGGGAGTCCTGAGGAGACCTGTCGCTGCTTTACGGGGTCCGCGTCAGAGTGCTGCGTCCTGGGGAGGCCGGAGGAGGCCCGTTGCCACCTCCCTGGGCCAGTGCCGGAGTGCTGTGGCCCCAGGGTTCCATGTCGAGACCTGTTGCCACCTTCCCGGGGCCCCCGCTGGAGCACTCCGTCAACCAGCCATTCCCTTCTGGGGAACCACTGTTGCCAACCTCCAGGTGAGGGCTGGAGATCACTCAGAATTACAACTGATCTCCAGGAGGGGGGGAGGAGATGGAAAACAGAAAAAGCCCTGACTGCTACGTCACATTTGCTGCCATACGTCACATTTGCTGCCACCTCAGCAGCATATAAGGATACAGAGCCCACCATTTTCTCCAGGGGAACTGATCTCTGCCATCTGGAAAGCAGTTGTAATTCTGAGTGATCTCCAGCCCTCATCTGGAGATTAGACACATTTTACCTCAGAATAGCAAACTGTTTAGAATGTTAGAGGCAAAAGTCAATCAAGTCGTATATGCAAATGACCTCTGTGTTCCGAGGCAAAGGCCAATGAAGCTGCATATGCAAATAACCTCTGTGTTCTGACTGGCTATGAGGGGGGAGAGGAACAGCAAACTGTTTAGAAAGTTGGAGGTGAGACTCAAGCAATGCAGCCAGTGGATAGGGACAGACTCTGAGTGACACACCAGGGCACCAACCAATTGCGGATCATGTGGAATGTTCTAGAGCAGAGTCACCACCATTCGGCTTTTATATATAAGGGAGATGTGAGACCTTCTACATTTGTGCCTTTCTATTACATACTCCTAATATATACTTAACCTGCTTCCAACCTATGCATTTGTTACACACCACATCTTTCTAGAGCTCGTTGTACTGCTTTCACAACGAGCTTCACTGCTAGTGTATATATATTGTGATAGTTGTTTGTAGCAGGCATGGCCAGACAGATTCTTGTGAATCATATGTGGCTCTTATACTGTGAACAACTCATACAGTGGCAATCTCCTCACATATTACCATCTGGTAATAGGGAGACTAGGATGCCTGCCGGGAAGGGGTGGAGACATCAAGCTTCCGTAGTGTCTGCAAGAAGTGCAATCTGCTCCAATGGCCAGGTTCCACAATTCCCTTGAGTAAAATGGCCGAGCCCATCCAAGGAAGGTCTTTATGGATATCCAGTAAAGGAACCAACGTTCCTTTATTCAGACTTTAATTTACACTTAATCTTTCATTTTGGGTTTCCTGTAGCCCTGTTCATTCACTACTATTTTGGTGATCCAACCATGCATAAAGGAGGATTTGCTAGCCTCTTGATAAATGTGACCACCATTTTGTTTTAATAAGACAACACATGTATTTTCTAGGTATGCATGGCTGGAAATTCAGGGTTTTTGAGGGTACTCACTGGGGCATATTGAAGTGGGAAAATGCAAACATTGCAGTATTCACATAAAACAGTAACTACATGTATTACGAAAATTGCAGACAATGAGCCCTTCCAATACTTGAGGTTAAAATTCCAACTATTGAACAAGGCTTGTCTTACTCCTTGGATGGATAGATTGGCAGAGGTGACAGGGCCAGAGTGAAAATCAGTTCCTTTAATCCCACGTTAATTTCTCGGCTGAAAATAATGCAATAAATAGGATAGTCTTATTTTCATAATATGGCACATTTGTGCAAAAATTCCATGTCTCTGTTTCAACTACACCTTTGAACTTCTGAAGGTTATAATCAGTGCTCCAGAGGGTCATCCACCCCCTTGTTTTATGGTATAAACAACTGTTTACACTAATAGAAGTTTAAAAGAAGGACTGACTCCCTAAAAGAAGGACTGACTCCCTTTGATTCCGGGGGGAATCACTTATAGATGCCCTTGAAGGGGAATGAACACCAGATTTGCCACTTCCCTTTTATTCTAAAAGCTTTTTTCCTGACCCTGCTAGCAAAGTGTGCTTCAGAGGTGAAGAGGTAAGGATAGGGAACAGATGCATGAGTCATAATAGCTGGAATCCATCAATGGAAATACTGTTCTGTAGAACATTACATCATTCTACACTGTTCTGTAGTTTACTGTAAACATAGCTGATGGCAACACACGAGGCTATATGTGGTACTTACACTGGTCGAGGAAACAGCTTCTTGAACACTTTCCATAATGAACTCCTTTGTGATCCTGCGACAAGGCAGTTCATTGAAGAGAGAATTGATCAGAGCTACTTTTGCAGCATCTCGTCTTGCCTCTGCCCTGCTCAAGCAGTACTGAAAAACAAATAAGATTTTAAACAGATTTTTTTAAAAAAATAAATTTCCCCTCCTTATAAAATGAGTTTGTCTCAGCTGGTGATCTATTTCAACAAAATTCCTGTTATTTTAACATTAACATGACTGGCAGTCCCTTTAAATAAGAGAACTTCTTGATAAACTTTTTCTTCTAGCAAACTTTTTCAGACTACTCTCATGTAAATAATATTTTTAGAGCAGTTTCAAATAACCCGATTACTTTCCACCACCAAAAATATAGGAGTTTCCTCATAAATCCAGGGTTGTGGGTGCACCTCAAGACTTTATGGCTGCCATGATGTAGACCTGTTGAGGAGAGGCCGATTTTTCCTAAGGCGATAGTGATTAATACACTCCTGAAGATGCTGTCTTACTCCCAAAGTCAGCTGATTAGAAAGATTAGAGTATGCCTTCAAGTTTGCCTCATTGGGGTGAGGTGTTTGAGGAGGCAATGTTGGACCAATTTCAAGAATCATAAGAGGAATTTTCTGGACCCAGAACAGTCAGATATTAGAACAGAGATTGCACTGGTTGTGCTGATTCTGTGTTTAGAAATGGACAAATGGAGTGCAATTCTGTTAATTCTCCTGGACGTCTCAGTGGCATTTGATGTGATCAGATCCTTCCTGGAGTTGTGGGGAGGGATGTCTGGCAGTGGTTCTGATGGATTAGTCCTGATATGTAGCCATGGGGGATTGCTACTTTACTCCCTGGGTTTTGCGCTCCATCTTGACCTTGGTGCTCTTTAACACCTACAGGCAGACATTGGGAGATATTCTCTATCAGTTCAAAGTATGATGCCATCAATGCCTTGATGATATCCATCCCCCCCATAATTTTTATCATACCAGGATCAATGGCTCAGTCCCTGATCAATACCTGAATTATTCAAGGATTAACAAATTGAAGCTTAATCCAGACAAAGATGGACTAGTTGAGAAGCTTGCTGATTCTACTTGCCTTGGATGGGGTTGTACTCCCCCTTGAAGGATAAGGTGATTAGGGTTCCTCTGGACTTTGCTTAGTTGCGGGATTATCTGATTCACTTGCCTAAACTAGGGTAAGGCACCCTTGACATTTGCTTCTTTCACAAAGACCTGATCTCAGCCATTTCTTACTTTGGTAACATACCATATTGATCACAGATACACATTCCATTTGTGTCTGCCTATGAAGATGGTTTCAAAACTGCAGCTTATTAAAAACCCTGCGGTTCATGACCTGTTACAGACCAGCCACAGGGAACACATAATTTCTGTTGTGGTCTAACTGTATTGGCCACCTACATGCTTGGGTACCCACTTTAAAGTCCTTCATGCATACCTTCAGAAGTGCCTTCATACATTCTTTCTTACTCCCTTGCATGTGCAGTGGAGGTGCTACTCTGCAATCTTGCTTTTGGACTGTGAGGGCACTGTCACTTTGGGGCATGGCTTCCACTGCAAATTCATCTAGTCACTTCTATGGGTGTTTGGTTGAGCTTGGCTTTTCAAGAAGGCTTAGTGAAGGTAATTGCCCTTCATGTTTCAATTCATTTTTGAGTGAATGGCTTCAGGATCTATTTCAGGGCTGTGTTTTAAGAATCCCTGCAACTTTAAATAATGTTAGGGTCTTTAGACATCCTGGTTGAAATTTTATATTTGTTTTTATCATTGTTGTTGGGTGTCACATAGCCGGCAAACACTGCTGCAAGAAGAACTAAATAGTAAACATGTCAGTTTCTAAAAATTGTGCACATTCTAAAACACACATGGACCTTCTGCTCAAGGATCAGCCTGTTGTAGCATATTTGTTCAAGGAAATGATATGACATAAATAAAATTTCGTTTGCCTTTGCAATCAATGTTTTATCAAAAGTATTTTGAAAAATCCTCTACTACTTACTCATTGCATTGTATATGAATGGGCACACCTTAACAGTCCACGAGCAATTCTATACACCTCTTAAAACTTCCCTGTGTTGCCTATATCAACATACCGGACCATACTCTTATTATTCAGTCTTTTCTTGTGGGCTATATGACTGTTTACTTTCTCAAATTCCGAGACCAAATTCAGACTTGTATGCTTTTAATAATAAACATTTTAATAGAACCCAATCCAAATAATTTGGATTTAAACCATCTTTGTGAAGACAAAACCCAGTAAAAATGAGAGATAAAAGAAACTATTTATTTTAAGTAAGGCTAGCAAAGTAGCAGATCAAAGAGGCTGCATGAGTTTAAAAGCAAAAGGCAAATCTTTGCAGACCAAGAGATGTCCACATCTTCGGGGGAGAGGAATAATTCTTACTACTTTCTGGAAGTAATTGGAAACACAAAGGGTTGACCAAACTGTGAATGTTAATTTAGGTCATTGACATATGACTTTCTCTTGCAACCTTCTTAAGTGTTTGAGTTCAAATATGTTTGGTCTGTCTTGTGACAACAGCACAGATTTGAAATTCATATGAACTGAGTACTACAGGTTTTTAAGAATTTTTAATTTTTCTAAGAGCAAAGGTGTCTGAATGCTTGCTTGACAGTATTGGAAAAAGTCACCTCCTAATACAGTCAAAAAAATTGAGGGAAAGGTAGGAAGAGATTTGCATTATGTAATACATCATTATGTGCTGAGAATAGAATTGGCATCATCTTCATTTTTGTTGTGCTATTTTATGAGGAGCAGTTTGGTGTAGTAGTTAAAAGTGCGGACTCTAATCTGGGACAACTGGGTTTGATTCCCCATGTTTGATTCCACATGCAGCTGCTGGCGTAACCCCAGGGTCAGTCCAAGTTCTTTCAGAGCTGTTCTTTCAAGAGCAGTTCTCTCAGAGCTCTCTCAGCCCCACTTATCTCACAGGGTGTCTGTTGTGGGGAGGGGAAGGAGATTGTAAGCCACTCTGAGTGAAGGATGGGGTATACATCCAGTCTCCTTTTCTTCTTCCTCTTCCTCCTCCTGAGAACGTATGTGTGAAAGCAGAAATCTCTTGTAGGCTCAGGAATTCTATTGCATACATAGAGCTAATCTGGTTTACAATGGGGTGCAAAGAGATGAAAAGTACAGAAATGCCTCTTCTGCTGAATCAAATATGGAATTTTGTGCAAATATAAACTAGGCTCCTAATTAGGACAATGGGGCCACCATCCAGCAGCTGAGGACTGTAAGCATAATTGGGGCGTTTGCTGTTGCCAAGTATGCTATGGATTGTTCTGTCAGATCTTCCATAACTGCCAATAGGACTGGGTTGTATACAGGAGGTTGGTCAGACTGTTGGACCGGAGCATGGAAAATAATTTTTGAAACAAATGTTTCCATAACCCAATCAACTTTTTGCAGAAGTTAATGGTGAAGCATTTCCCTGCAGTGCTTTCAGAGAGTGTAACCACTCTGGAAAACTGATTTCTTAAAATGAGTTTTAAAAGATAACAACTAGCAAAAACTATTAAAGAACACACAACCAATAAAACTACAATACACAAACAACAAAAATAAATAAAAATAGAAATATAAAATACAGGTAAAATTATTATGTATATAATCTCCCTTTTCCCCTCCATTATCTGTTATCTAATATCCCCCCTTAATAATCAAATCCACAAATTGTTCTTTTCCTTGTTGTGCAAAAAGTTTATAAAGGGTTTCCAATTGTCAATAAAAGTAGAAATAGTCTTTTCTCTAATCAAAGCAGTAAGTTTAGCCATCTCTTCAGCTCTAACAACTTCATCAACCATTCAAATCTTGCAGCCGTTGTCATGTATTAAAAACAAAGTTCCATGGCCATTTCCCAATTGTGTGTCCATCAGACCTAAACAAAAGGCCTCATTTTATTGATCTTTAAAATCTGAATTAATAAATGTATCCAGATTTTTATTTATTTATTTATTTAGGTATTTTTACCCCGCCCTCCCCCGCAATTTCTACTTTTTTGGGCTTTATTACAAGTCCACCATAAATGATAAAATATCTCTTAATGGTTTTCACATTTCCAACACTTACTCAAAATAGATGCTAGTAGATCATCCATAAATGAACAAAAATTCTCTATTACATTTTTGATGCAGCATTTAGTTGGAGCATTTAATTCAATCGGCATTAATTCTGTAAAACTGAATGCCTATACACAGCCTAGTCCTACTCCTGCTTTTGGGGAGATTAAGTTCTCTGGGAGCTCAGTGGGGTTACCCCCATTAAGCATAGGGTTACAAATGTTCATCTTCCATCTTCAGTGCAGCCCCACATTGGGATGGGTTTTTTCCTATCTTAAATCAAAGAGGGAAGCCCCTCCCCCTGAGTGCTGACACGATGGCATTTTTATGCCCAAACCATCACATGCTCTGAGGGGGAGTGCCCCCTCACCAGGGCTTTTTTTGTAATAGAAAAAGCCCAGCAGAAACTCATTAGCACACTCAACAGCAGAAACTCATTAGCATATTAGGCATTTCCTTGGCTTGCCCCGCAGAGTCGCTGAGGGGGTCACTCTCCAGGACTTCCCTCTGTGGCCACGCATGCAGAGGTTTTGGCTGTAGTGGGTGTGGTCACCTCTGAAGCCAGCTGGAACTCCGTTCCTGTGTGTTCCTGCCCAAAAATAGCCATGCCCCTCACCCTCAGTTACTTTTCGCTGCTGTGACCGCTCCATGCTTCTTGATTGTTTTTTCTGACTGGAACACTACTCTCAGTGTTTCTTGGTTTTTAGTCTGGTTTGGATCATCGAGGGATGTGTTCTTCATGGCAGTGAGGTGGCTCTCGCCCACCTCTTTCTATTCTGTTGACAGTCTGACATCTTTCCTTTGAGTTGTCAATGGCGTCCGAAGCTCTGTTTAAAAAATGCACCAAATGTGCAACCAAAATGACCCACAGTGATGAGCACAACTTTCGCCTGATGTGTTTAGGAGAATCCCATAACATGACCTCCTGTAAGATATGCCAGGAGTTTACTCTGAAAGCATGTTTTGACAGAGCTTTTTGACTTAAAGCCGCACTCTGAGAGAAGGCTCTCA